GGCACAAACGGGGCTGCTAGCGCCAGGTGGGTATGCGCAGCCCGTTTGCGCATGCACAAATGGGGCCGCTAGCGCCAGGAGGATGTGTGCGGGCCATTTGCACATGCATGAACGGGGCCATTAGTGCACCTGCACGCACACCAATTTGAAATCTGCTCTCCTTCCTCCAGGCCGCAAACCCGGTAAGGTTGGAGACCTCTGGTCTAAGGTCCCTTCCAATTCTGTTATTCTGTTGTTCTGCAACTTGAGGGCACATAATTAGTCAATGGAAAGACCCAGCTCCCTTGAGAAAAATATAGGAGCCCTGATGATGCAGTGGTTAGAATGCAGTATTGCAGGCTAACTCTGCCCATTGCCAGGAGTTTGATCCTGACCTGCTGAACATTGACTCAGCCTTCCATCCTTCTGAAATTTACAAAACAAGGACCCAGGTTGTTGGGGACAATATGCTGACTCTGTGAACCGTTTAGCCCGGAATTTCACCTTTTAACACATACACACACATACACACATATATAAAACACACACTTTATTTCCGGTTGGGCTTCCAAGAATTGCTAAGTGGGGTGTGCTTTGTTAAATGTCGATATAGCTGGGGATAGGATTGTCAGATGGCTACCCAAAGCAGTTTTGCCCCATTTTCCACCCTCTCGATTGATTGATTGATTGATTGATTGTTTATTTTGATGCTGAGGCCTTCTGATTTCCCAACGACATTAATGCTTTTTATTGATGACCTGTTTGTATTTTATGCATTATCTGTTTTCAGAAGGCAAGAAAACATGTTGCCGTATGTTGGTGGTTTTACAACCTAGATGTGGTGGTACAAAATCTGGGGGAGTCGAGAATTGTTTGTTTGTTTGTTTGTTTATGTGCTGCCCATCTCATCTGGAGGTTGCCCATGGGGGGTGGAGGGAGAATCAGGAAGACAAAATCGAGTGGAGACTTTCCTACAGGTAGTTCTCAACTTACGACCACAATTACAGGCAATCCTCGACTTAACGATCGCAACAGGGAACAAATGACAATTTTGTGGCAGTCTTTTTTTTTTTTTTTGACAGAAAATGGCACACACAAAAGCTGGAAACCAGCAAATTATGTTATTGTACACTGCCCAGAGTCCCTCTCTGAGAGAGAGGAGCAGTTCTTTGGCAAAGAAACACATAAATAAAATGAGAAACGTTGTAAATTGAGGGGAATTTGACTGTAAGACACTGGAACTGGTCATAAAGGTGAGCCAGTTGCCAAGCAACTGAAATGTAGTCATGTGACCACAGGGGGCATGGCATGACATTTTATGAAGACCACAAGTGCTTTAGGGCAGGGGTCTCCAACCTTGGCAACTTTAAGACTTGTGGACTTCAACTCTCAGAATTCCTCAGCCAGCTTTGCTGGCTGAGGAATTCTGGGAGTTGAAGTCCACAAATCTTAAAAGTTGCCACAGTTGAGAACCCCTGCTTTAGGGGCTGTTAAGCCCGTTCTGGGCCCATCATTGTTTCAAGTGGACGTTAAGTGAACAGTTGGAAGATCGGAACTACAGGTAGTCCTTGACTTATGACCCCAACTGAGCCTAAAATTTCTGTTGCTAAAAATTTGTTGTGAATATTGCCCCATTTTACAACCTTCCTTACCAGAGTTGTTAAGTGAATCACTGCAGTTGTGAAGTAAATAAGTGAATCTGGCTTCCCCATTGACTGTGCTTGTCAGAAGGTCGCAAAAGGTGATCACATGTTCCCGGGACGCTGTGACCGTCCCAAATACAGGTAGTCCTCAACTTACAACACTTTGTTTAGTGACTGTTGGAAGTTCAGTGGCACTGAAAAAAGTGACTTATGACCGTTTTTCACAGTTATGACCGTTGCAGCATCCCCATGGTCACGTGATTTATATTTGGACTCATGACAACTGACTCATATTTATGACGGTTGCACTGTCCTGGAGTCACGTGATCCCCTTTGGCTACCTTCTGACACGCGAAGTCAATGTGGAAGCCAGATTCACTTAACAACCATGTTACTAATTTAACAGCTGCAGTGATTCACTTAATAAGGAAAAATTGTAAAACGGGGCAAAACTCACTTAACAAATTTCTCACTTAGCAACACAAATTTTGGGCTCAGTTGTGATCATAAGGTGAGAACTACCTGTACGTGTAGCCTTTTGAAATTCAGATGCTTGCAGTGATTCGCTTAACAATTGTGGAAAAAAGGTCATCAAATGGGATGCAACTTGCTTAACCGCCTTGCTTAGCAATGGAAATTTTGGGCTCTGTTGTGGTCGTAAGCCGAGGACTACCAATACCACAAAAATTCAGGACTTTCAGCTCCTTGCAAACATTGGCTTCTGTTGTGAGAATTTCATCAGAATTCTCTGCTCTGCCGTTGAAAGTAATTTCTAAAGCAAATGTCATCCAAATGACTAAAAACTTTTTTTTTTTTAAAAAGAATTTGGAAGCTGGAGATAATTGCTGGGGACAATGCCAGAAACACATTTGAGGGGGCCGAAAGTCCAGCCTTTCCTCACAGCACTTAGCAATGGTGTCTTAAGCAAAGCGGTGCACGCTGTCTACAGCCCCAAACCAGCATGCCTCCCTCGCGGTTTTGCTAATCCTCTAATCTCTTGGATAATCTGTCCAAAAAGTATACCTAAAAACCCCCAAACCCCTATAAAATTGGAGTGTGCCTCTGAATATAATACGGGGAGCGGGGGGGGGGTGCTAATCAGGCATCATGACTGGAGAAAGATTCCCCCCTCCCGTTCCATTAATCACCTACCGTTGCCGTTTTATTAATTTTAAGAGGTGCTTGGTTTAATCTTGTAAAGTTAATGGGAAGGAGGAAGATTAGGGGAACCACGTGGGCTCCAGAGAAGCTCGGATCGGCCTCTTGGGGTTTTTCCCCAACGAGTCAGACAATCCTAGCTTGGCAGAATCTATTGTGGTAGAATTGCAACAAGAAAGATTTTCTCCTTGGTACTCCTAATCAGACACTCTTTGAATTGGTTAGGAGGGCTAATAATGCCTGGAAGTTTCTAGTCCTCAAGGTCCATCTCAAACACACCCAGGGCGTCTGATTTCGAATGTTCTGGTCTTCTTTTAAAGAGGAAACAATTCATCAATTTTCTTCGTTTAACCTTCTTAATTTTAATCGTTTTGTAATATCTCCCCCCCCCCCCGCTTTTTATCATTTTGTAAGCTGCCCAAACTCGCTGCAACAGTGAGGTGGGCTGCATACCAATGTAATACGTAAATAAATCAAGAACTTTGCATGGTTTTTACTTTTTGGATGCAACACAGACATTTTTGTGCCTATGTGGTGTGCAAAAATACTCAGCTTTGGGGCAAGATACCATGAAGTTATGACAATGGCAAGACCAAGGTAGTCCTTCTTATGACCACAATTGGAACTGGAATTTCTATTGCAAAATGAGTTACTTCTGAGTTTGTAAGATTTTTTTTTGCCACGATTGTTAAGTAAATCAGTGCAGTTGTTAAATGAATCACACAGTCGTTAAGTAAATCCAGTTTTTCCCCATGGATTTTGCTTGTCAGATGTCAGCTGGAAAGGTTCGCAAATGGTGAACATATGGCCTCGGAGTAGTATAACCATCATAAATACATGTCGGTTATCAAGAGCCCAGATTTGTACATGATTGTGAGGATGCTACTACGGTTTTAAGTATAAAGACTAAGTTATAAGTCACTTGAATACTTGGACTAGTTGTAAATGAGTTGTTTATAAAGTAATAAAGGCAGGATAAAAATCAAATACTGTATATAAATCAATAAATTGTGGATAGTTTTTTTTCATGTATCTGCTGGAAGGAATGGATGAATATTGGATATTTAGGTTTGGGTTATATAATTAGGTATTATTAGTTTAGGCTTCTATTGTGAAACCTCGGTGCAACACCCCTCCCCCCAGAATCACTGTCATAAAAATGGGCAACTAAATAAATGAATTGCGGCTAGTTGTTCATGTATCCTCTGGGAAGAATGGATGAATGTTTAAGATATTTAGGTATATAGTTGGTATTATTATTTTAAGTTTCTATTGTGAATCCTAGGTGCACCCCCCCCCCCCAGAATCACTGCCATAAAATGGGCAGCTAAATACATTATTAAATACGTAGGTAACTACATTGCATTGAGTGGGGACTTCTCGTGTGCAAGATTATTTTATTTCAGATGTCACCCTTTGGCTTGACTCTGTTTTTTGATGACCGAGAGAGCCTTTATAATAGTAGTAGTAGTAGTAGTAGTAGTAGTAGTAGTAGTAGTAGTAGTAGTAGTAGTAGTAGTTGGAAGGGACCTTGGAGGTCTTCTAGTCCAACCCCCTGCTCACGCAGGAAACGCTATACTGTTTCTGACGACAAATGGCTGTCCAGTCTCTTCTTAAAAATTTCCAGTGTTGGAGCATTCACAGCTCCTGGAGGCAGGTTGTTCCACTGATTAATTGTTCTAACTGTCAGAAAATGTCTTCTTAGTTCTAGGTTGTTTCTCTCCTTGATTAGTTTTCATCCGTTGCTTCTTGTTCTGCCTTCAGGCGCTTTGGAGAATAGCTCGACTCCCTCTTTTTGGGGCAGCCCCTGAGATATTGGAAGACTGCTATCATGTCTCCCCTTGTCCTTCTCTTCATTAAACTGGACATCCCCAATTCCAGCAGCCATTCCTTATATGTGTTAGCCTCCAGTCCCCTAATCATCTTTGTTGCTCTTCTCTGTACTCTTTCTAGAGTCTCTACATCTTTTTTACATTGTGGTGACCAAAACGGGATGCAGTATTCCAAGTGTGGCCTTACCAAGGCGTTGTAGAGTGGTATTAACCCTTCACGTGATCTTGATTCTATCCCTCTGTTAATGCAGCCTAGCACTGTGTTGGCTTTTTGGGCAGCTGCAGCACACAACTGGCTCCTATTTAAGTGATTGTCCACTAAGATTCCGAGATTCCACTCACAGTTGCTATTAATGGTCTCTTTTCCTCCCGGCTGTTCCTGTTGCAGATTCCACCAAGGGGACTACACCGTGGAAGTCAGCATCAACGATTACCTGGACATATACTGCCCGCACTATGAGATCCCATTTCCCATGGACCAGATGGAGAGATACATTTTGTACATGGTCAACTACGAGGGACACAGCTCCTGCGACCATCGGCAGAACGGCTTCAAACGCTGGGAATGTAACCGTCCGGATTCCCCCAACGGGCCCCTCAAATTCTCCGAGAAGTTCCAGCTTTTTACCCCGTTCTCCTTAGGATTCGAATTCAGACCAGGGCACGAGTATTACTACATTTGTAAGTACTGAAAGCTGTCCTACGCTTCCCATAGGAGCCAAGCAGGCTGGAGTTCCCTGGGGTGACGTGAGGGTTGGAAGGGAAGGGGGGGGGGTCCCTTACATGAAATGAGGTTTTCGGCCTATCAAACCATCCCTAGATAGTAAGCTGGATACAGGTAGTCCTCAACTTACGACCACACATTTAGCGACTATTCAAAATTACAGCGGCACTGAAAAAAATATGACTTACAGTAGATCCTCATACTTACGATCGTCGCAGCCTCCCCACAGTTACGTGATCAGAATTTGGGTGCTTGGTAAGCAGCATATATTTACGATGGTTACAGCATCCCAAAGTCACAGGATGTCCCCATTTGCATCCTTCCCAGCTGGTTTCCGACAAACAAAGTCAACGGGGAAACCAGATTCGCTGAACAGCTATGTGATTCACTTAACGGCTGCCATGATTCACTTAACAATGGTGGCAAAAAAAGATTGTAAAATCGTGCACGACTCTCTGAACAACTGCCTTGCTCGGCAGTGGAAATTCTGGTCCCAATTGTCATCGTGAGTTGAGGATTCTCTGTAAATACTGGCTGAATTTAGCTCTCTCAGAAGTTCAGTTCAGTTCAAAGCTGGGCCGTTTGAATGAAAAGTTATAAAAAGGGGTGTTGCGACACAGAAGGAAAACCTAGAAATGTAAGCAGCTTGCTTACGTTATTAGATTCATGGGGCATGAAGCTAAGAAATGAGCAATCTGAAACAAATCAGCCCCGATCAGCCCCACTGTACCCCAAGATTGTGTTGCTGGAATTCGGCAGTAAAATGGCTCATGAACATGGAACATCAGAATAACAGAGTTGGAAGGGACCTTGGAGGTCTTCTAGTCCAACCCCTCCTCCGGCAGGAGACCCTATACCAGGGGTAGGCAACCTTGGCTCTTTTGTGACTCGTGGACTTCAACTCCCAGAATTCCTGAGCCAGCATGGCTCAGCTTGGAAACCTCTCTCTTTCCCCTCAGCATGGCTGGCTCAGGAATTCTGGGAGTTGAAGTCCACGAGTCATAAAAGAGCCAAGGTTACCTATCCCTGCCCTATACTATTCCAGACAAGTGGCTGTCCAGTCTCTTCTTAAAAACTTCCAGCGTTGGAGCATCCACAACTTCTGGAGGCAAGCCGTTTCACGTGAAAGCAATATTCCAGTATTTGAGGGGCTGCCACAAAGACGAGGGGGTCACGTTATTCACCAAAGCACCAGAGGGCAAGACAAGAAACAATGGTTGGAAACTGACCAAAGAGAGAAGCAACCTGGAATTAAGGAGAAACTTCCTAACAGTGAGGGCAATTAACCAGTGGAACAGCTTGCCTTCTCAGAAATCATGGACTCTCCATCAATGGAGATTTTTAAGAAGAGGCTAGACAGTCACATGTCTGAGATGGTATAGGTTCTCCTGCTTAAGTGGGGGAGGGGGGGCTGGACTAGAAGACTCCAAGCTCTCTTCCAGCTCTATTCTACTCTATTGGTTGATTGTGGTGACACAGTGGTTAGAATACAGTATTGCAGGCTAACTCACTGCTCACTCCAGGAGTTCAATTCTGACCAGCTCAAGGTTGACTCAGCCTCCCATCCTTCCGAGGTTGGTAAAATGAGGACCCAGATTGTTGGGGACAATAGGCTGACTCTGTAAACCGCTTAGAGAGGGCTGTGAAGCACTATGAAGCGGTATATAAGTCTAAGTGCGATTGACATTTTCACCATGAGGAAATTTCTCCTTAGTTCTAGATCAGTGATGGCAAACCTTTAGAGACCGAGTGACCAAACTGCAACCCAAAGCCCACGTATGCATCGTCGAGTGCTGGGTGGGTGTGGCCCATTGGGTGGGCGTGGCCCATTGGGTGGGTGTGGCTGCAGTGGTAACGGCAGACTGGGTGGAAGGCCTAGGACTGGGGCGACAGTGTGCGTGCCCACAGAGAGGGCTCTGAGTGCCGCCTCTGGCACCCGTGCCATAGGTTCGCCACCACTGTTCTAGGTTGTTTCTCTCCTTGATTAGTTTCCATCCGTTGTTTCTTGTCTTGCTTTTTGGTGCTTTGAAAAATAAGTTGACACCTGCCCCCTTCTTTGTGGCAGCCCCTGAGATATTGGAACACTGCTATCATGTCACCTTTAGCCCTTCTCGTCATTAAACTAGACATACCCAATTCCAGCAACCGTTCCTTATATGTTTGAGCCTCCAGTCCCCTGATCATCTTTGTCACTCTTCTCTGCACTCTTTCTAAAGTCTCAATATCTCCTTTATTTTGTGGTGACCAAAAATGTAACCAAGGCAGTATATAAAGCAGTATTAATACTTCATGTGATGTTGATTCTATCCCTTTATTACTGTAGCCTAGAACTATATTGGCTTTTTTGGCAATGTTGGCGACAACATTTTTGGCAGTGCAATGTTGCGGGGGGGGGGTTTGGGTGGTGGAGGGTATTTTAAGGATAGAAATGGGGGGTCACCTGCTTCTGAAAACCTCCTACTTCCCTGAGACTCAAAATACCCCGCTCCAAAGCTGCCTTATCCCTTTTCAAGGATATGACAACATCCGTACATTGTCTCCCGTCACCCTTCAGAGGACTGAGTAGAAGATACAATCAAGAAATTGAGTTGACGAACCCCCAGGTTTCACCCACCCCAATTTAGCTTGGAAGGATATCAGTGTTTCTCCGGCACTAACTGGAGATAATCATCTATTTCTGACTCGCAAAGAACCTTGTAGGTGAATGTGTGTGATTAGGAAGGAGGGAGTAGGGCTGTGTTTGCTATCCATGCCCTCAGCGCAGCTTCAACAAATTAAAAGCCACATCTAACAGAGAACACACATTTATCCACACTTAACCACTCAATCACTGGGATCTTTCCTCGAAGCAGTGTGTTTTTATTTATTTGCTAGACAACCCGTGACTTCTTGGGTCATCCTTGCAGAGATATTTCCTTACCAGATTCCTCAAATGATTTCAACAAAGGCAGAGCTTCCCGTATAGTGGAAAACTTCTTAAAAATTCAGGGAAACATTCAGAGACTTCACTGGCTCGAAAACAGGGCATGTTAAGCTGGGTAACAGAGTCAAGCATAAACAGATGATCACAGGAAATGTTTTATGATATGTTTGTTGTACGTCATAAAATGCTTTAGGGTCACTTTTGTGTCATGAAACCTCTGATAAAGTTTGCCAAATTTCAGTTCCATTGGGAGTCCCTGCATAGGCCCTGCATTTTGCAGGCATTTTGTAAGTTTTATTTATTTATTTATTTGTTTATTTTCCCACCTTTATTTTTATAAATAACTCAAGAAGGTGAACATACCTAATATGCCTTCCTCCTCCTATTTTCCCCATAACAACAACCCTGTGAGATGGGTTGGGTTGAGGGAGAGTGACTAGCTCTAAGTCACCTAGCTGGCTGGATTTGATTCCACTATCTTCCATTTTCTAGCCTGGTGCCTTAACCATTCCACTAAAGCAACCTTGGTTGAAAATGTTTTGCCCTATGCTGAACTGTTTCGTCCAGTTAAAGGTTCACCGAAAATGAGAATTTTAATAATATATAGATTATATTTATCAAATTTGTATAGCTGTCCATTGTCACAAGAAATGACTGGGGGCGGTGTTCAGCAGTTAAGAAAAACAATAATTATAGAAATACAATCATTGTAAAAATGTAAATCAATCATTATTAAAAAATCAAAATAAAGAAAAAAATAAGATACACAAACCGCAGACATGGAGAAAGTGAAATAGTAGAGCCATCTTAAAAGGTTATTGATTAGTGGTTCCTTGGGACCCCCCCCCCAGGTTTTAGTGCTTTAGGAAGGAAGGAAGGAAGGAAGGAAGGAAGGAAGGAAGGGAGGGAGGGAGGGAGGGAGGGAGGGAAGGGGGGGAGAGAGGGAGAGAGGGAGAAGCGAAGGAGGGAAAGGAGAGAGGGAAGGGGAGGGGGGAGGGAGAAGGGGGAGGGAGAAGGGGAAGGAAGGAAAGGAGAGGGAGAAGGAAGGGAGGGAGGGAGGGAGGAGGAAAGAGAAAAAGAGAGAGAAAGAAAGAGAGAGAAAGAAAGAGAAAGGAAGGAAGGAAGGAAGGAAGGAAGGAAGGAAGGAAGGAAGGAAGGAAGGAAGGAAGGAAGGAAGGAAGGAAGGATTGTTGCTTCCTGCCACCCATCTTAATCTCTGGAACTCACCGCTGCAGGATATTCTTAGATTTAGCAGTTTTCCCGGTCACTTTTGTTTCCTAGTTTCATATTTGCCTTGTTCACCCTCAAAGGATCTCCGTTTGATGCACCCAGGATCCCCCCCCCCCACTCTCCACAATATTATCATTTTGGCCAGGAAAAACAAGGCTGTTGACTAAATTCACAGCACCCTATTGACCTCCTGGTGTGTCTCTATAGTTCTTTATTGTGGCCATGCCTCATTGAAACAGAGAGGGCATGAGTATTTTTCCTTTTGGTACAATTTTAATCTTCTGCCGAGATCTATTTTTATAATTAAAAGAAGAAGAAGAAGAAATCTGGAAACGCCTTGCCCAGCTCCGACTTCTGATTACACTGTCAATCCTAACTAAGCAATCACAGCGACTGGTTTAATTAGCAAGAATGACTCTATTTAAACTCCATTGGGGCCTTGGGAATGGGGGATGCTCCGCTACCCAGCTGGGGCCACATTCTGAGGAAATAATAAAAATAAACCAGTGTGCAGCACAGAACGAATAAGAGAGCAGGGAGAGAGGAGAAGAAAAGGCTCAAAGAAGCATTGAAGGTTCTGGGTGAGAAAAGTTAAAGGCCGCCTCGTTCACGACTAGATTTGACTTGCTAAATGATCGGTGTTTCAGCCTCTTGGCGAGACCTCTGGTCTTTCTTATTTAAATTTTTTTTTAGTCTCATGTTTATTATTTTTTTATAAATAACTCAAGCTGGCGAACATATCTAATGCTCCTTCTTCCTGTTTTTCCCATAACAACAACCCTGTGAGGTGGGTTGGGCTGAGTG